AGGAGGAGGAGGAGGAAGAAGAAGAAGAAGAAGAAGAAGAAGAAGAAGAAGAAGAAGAAGAAGAAGAAGAAGAAGAAGAAGAAGAAGAAGAAGAAGGAAAGAAGTCCTGTGAGTCTCCGTCCACGGCTTTGCCTACAATCAGTCACCTTCCCACTCCTAAGTGACACCAAGAAATAATGTATGCTTAAAACTTTATTTAGCAGAAATGCTAGGAACAATGAAAACCAACACTAATTTACCTGGCTGGTCTCACTTTCTAAGCACTCTTATCCTATGACACTGCTCAGAGCTCACAACACAATAAAGACTGTCACTCCCACCATCCCAAGGTGGTTCAGGGGAGCTGGGGATTGGATGAAGCAGCAGAGCCAGGACTCTAACAAGGTCTTTGAACTCCATGTGCTGTGTTCTCCCCGCTCCTTGGCTTGGGTATGGAACACAGTGGGGACCCAGAGGTTATGTCAAAAGAGCAAGATGAAACGGGAGAAATAACTACCACAGTAGGTCAGGCCGTGACGTCTTCCAATTCCACAGGATGCTCCTGGGGTGTCCAGGGTCTGGATGTTCCCGTAACATCCCCCGTCGCGGCTTTCAGATGAGTCTGCACATGGAGAGAGCTTTAGCCTTAGGCATTGCACTAGAGTAGACCTCATCTTTCTGTCTTTGATTGAAATGGCATTAATAGAGGCAACTGTGATCGGTGAATAAGAACTTGACTCTGCAATCGAAACTCTAGGAATCTGTCCAACAGTAAGCTAAGAAATTATCACAGACAATGCTTTGATGCTAAGTGCTTGCCTCCTGTTCTGTAGACCTGAAGATCTGTTGAGGTAGCTATGCTCTTTGCAAGGCTCGGGGTTGTCTGATGCTGTTGGGTGTGGGTCTTTGAGCAAATCAGAGATGATCTGTTTCCTGTATCCTAATCTTCATCTTACGTCCCTCAGTGTATACTCAAATATTCCTGATTCATTGGTCTGGTAAGATATTTATATTGCTTCTGGAGAAATACAGCTAACACCTGAGTCTCCCAGAGAATTTCAACTCAGACCCAGAGGAAGGTCACTGCTGTGCTGGGCCTAGGGTCGGCTTCATCTTCTCTTGGTGTGTGCTAGGAAGGGGCCTCCGGTTGCAAAAAGAGGGTGCACATGTAAGGAATAGGGTCAGGTCTCTACATGGGGGAGGGGCTCTCTTCTGCTTCTTCCCTGGCTTTCTTTGCATCTCCATCACTGAAAGGAAGGCATTGACTTAGACGCTATTGAGATTTCACAAAGGCCCCTTTAGAGAAGGCTGCTTTTGCTTTTCACACAAGAACAAGGGCTGATGGGTATTAACGGTAGACAGCCAAACCTCTGTAGGTGTGGTTTCTGCCCCTATGGTTTCAATCAATTGCAAATCAAAAGCATTTGAGGAAATAAACTGCCTGTGTGAACACCTACAGACCTCTGCCTTGTCACTATCTATTGAGTTGTGCAGCTTGACAGGCATTTGCATAGCGTGTGCATTGTATTAGGAATGAAATGTGATCTAGAGGTGGCTGAAGGAGCAGGGGAGGGTCCAGCAGGTTCTCTGCAGCCACTACACCATTTTCTAAAAGGGACCCAAGCATCTGAGGATTTGGGTATCTGGTATCCTGACTCATGACTAAGTTTATAATTGGTACTAGGGTGAGTGTATGTGAGCCAGTAAGAAGCTACCTTTATGGGGCAGGGAATCGCTCCCTGTGAGAACTTTCTCCTTACTGTAGGCCAATAAGAACTTCTCCATGGAGTCTTTTCTAAAATTACAGGTTCTTCAATAATTAGGATTTTTTTCTTTTCTACTACTATTTATGATGTGTAATGAATACACTTATCTTATTCTTTGACTAAAGCAGGATGCCTCATCAAATCTTAACAGTCCGCCTATCTGCAGAAATCTATCGGGTCATTCATATGCGTTCCACATGTTTACATAAATGCATTTCTAGGTTCTATGTTCTCACGGCTTCATGGAGTTAACATTTGAAAATGCTAGGCTTTGGAGTAAACGCTTCTGCCTCTCAAATTCGGGATGAGGAGCGAGGAAGTGAAAAGACCTGGTGTTTTAAGGGTATATTAAAAATTGAACATTTTATGTTTTTAACCAGCACACTTTTATCTTTCTGATTGGTCACAAATACCCTGAAGGGTGTGGCCGGTTGTCACTTCTTGCTGCCTGCTTTGTGATCCACTCCTGGACAGAATTTTAGGATGCCAAACTTCTGCCTATTCCCAAGGCTTAGCACCTTGTAGGAATTTTTATTTGTTGAAGGACTGAGCCAATAAAGCCATCAATGAATGAACATTTTTAAATCTAGAGACAGGGAAAGTTTTGTACCTCCTAAGGAACTATGCTTCCTCATTTTATTTATCCAAACTAAGGCTTTTGCTTTTTGTCCCCACTCTAAGGAACATCAGGGCCAAAGCAGAAGTGCAGTCACAGCAGCTGGGTCAGCCTGGTCCCATTTTATGGATTTTGTGCTAGTTTTTCCACTTGAATTACATTAATCTTACTGTGGCAACCATCTCAACCTTTCAAAGGAATATGCAATCTATAAATACATTCAATCAATACTTTTTAATGTACTTAGTACAGAGTCTACAGGGTCTACACGATCAGACTCATAGTGATCCTTCCTGTTTTTCAGCCTCCCAAGTGCTGGGATTACAGGCACACGCCACCATGCTCAGTCTCAATCGCCATCTCAGTGTGCCCCAGGGGCGGAGCTGGCACGGCAGGCCGAGGATTGAACCCCCATCCCTATGTCTAAGTAGGCAATTCAGTCAATACTTCTTATACTGGGAAATGAGTAGTTATCAATGGTATACTTTTAAAGTCTGGTCTTGAGAGATCCTATCCTGAATTCTGGGGGGATCCAACTTTCCATGGAGTTCTAAGGGGGAGAGACTGCTTGTCTGCGACTATTCCTGACTCCAGGATTTATTGGACATTTTAGAAAAAAAGTAGTATTTCCACTGCAGTTGATAGTATAAAAGCCCTCCTGTGTTCTTGTACTTGCCCTTCCCATCTCCAAGGTGGCTTGGAAAAAGATAAAACCCACTCACCAGTCAGGGCCAGCAGGCCCAGGAGCAGCCACAATGCAGACATACTGAAGATCTGGCTCTGCCGCTCCTGAAATGCTTTGAACATGAACATTAGCTTGAAGATGTAAAAATTACTGCTCATTGTCATTACAATATATAATGTTTCTGGGAACGAGGGGAATGAGTGGAACAAGATTTCCTGTGAGACGTAAGAAACGTAGTGAGGGGCTGGCAAGATAGCTCAGCTGACTAAGTGCCTGTTTTGGCAAGCGTAGAGCTAGCGACTGAGTCTGGACATGGTGGCTCAGGCCTACAATCCCAGCGCTGGGGAGGCTGAAAACACGAGGATCACTACGAGTCCAAACTGCGTAGTGAGAGCCTGGTCCAAATACATTTTTTAAAAAAGTATAGTGAGTAGAACCATCACACACACACACACACACACACACACACACAGCCAAAGTTGGACAAGTGCTCCATCCTTCCTTTAAAAGGAAGGACAAGGGGCTGGGGAGATGGCTCAGTGGAATAAACGCTTCCCTGACAAGTGCTAAGGGCCTGAGTTCAATCCCCAGTTCTGCCAATAAATAAATAAATAACAAATAAAAGGAAAGACAAGCCACTGGGTACCAGTGAGAAGTCAAGACTCTTTCATGCTGGACACCCAGAAAACTGTGACCCAACTCAAGTTCCTGAAAAGCAAACTTTGGCTGCCTGTGTCTTATCCAAAAAGCTTCTTCATTATCCAAATGTAAAATATAGAAAGGAGTTTTGCATTGGTGGGCTCCTGACATGGTCCTTTGCCCTTAGGCAGGAGCAAAGGCCACACTTTGGTGCCTTGGGACATGTGCTGATCCTTCACTCTGGGATGAAGGACAGAGTAGGGGTCATTTCCCACTGCTCTCCTCTCCACGCTGGGAATTCCAGGGCTCTTCAGTCATCTTTTTTTTTTAGTTTTTATATTTTAAAGAAAAAGATATATAGTAAAAACAGTGGCATAACATTTCTTTTTTTTTTTTTTTTTTTTTTTTTTAGGGAAGTGTCTACAGGGTGTTCAGGGTCTCACTACTAGATCAGACTCGGAGTGATCCTCCTGTTTACAGCCTCCCAGGAGCTGGGATTACAGGCACGCCACCAAGCCGTATTGCCTTTTCAGCTTGCCTCAGAGGCGCGGCCAGCATGGCAGGCCTGGGAAGCTAACCCCTGACCCCTGGGCCTGCTTGCAGGCACTTTAATCTGCTGAGCTATTTGGCTAGCCTGGCATAAAATTTCAAAATAAGGACCAGAGTGATAGTGCAGCAGCTTAAGCTCCTGCCTGGCAAGTGCAAGGTCCTGAGTTCCATCCCTGGTACCAAAAAATAAATAAAATAAAATTTCCAAACAACATTGTAGGAGAGCAACAATTGCATATTGTTATCTTCAAAGTAGTTGCTCATAATACAAGATACGGGAATGGAAAACTGATCAAGCAGGATAGGCATATTTGCTGAAAGGAAAGCTAGCTGTCCCCCCAGCATGTTGAGCCCACTTCCCTATTCTCCCCGCCCCCACTCCATGCACTGGTGGGGGTTGAATCCAGGGCCTTGGCAATGAGATATATCCACAACCTCTCTTTATAGTGTCCTGGATCTAAATCACTAAATTGCCCAGGCTGAGCTCTAACTTGCAATCCTTCTGCCTCAGCCTCCCAGAGTGCTAGGATTCCAGGCATGCACTGCCCCATCCAGCTTGTAAAAAGTCTTGAGCCAGAAGCCAGGACAGAAAGACACTCACATGTGAAGTCAGGTCAGGGGCTTCATGAACTCAAGTGCTTGCTCTGCTGGAGAACGGATAACCACCCACCATGAAGCATGCTCTGCCCCGCTCTGTCTCTTTCTCAGCCCATTGCCTCCTCTCCACATCTTGCAAGAGTACGAGGAGCTCCAGTTTCCCCAGCAGCCCCCACTAGTTACACACATACCACAGAACAGCTCACAGTTGACTCACAGGGCGCACTGGAGGAACCAGACCCCGGCCCACAGCGTCCACTTCCACCAGCCTTTCCCACCACAGGGCGTTTCCCTTCTCGCCTGAGCAGCAGAGCCTGGCAACCTGTCATTTTGAGTTACTGCTATCATTACCAGCAGGAGCCTGCATGCAAACCTGGCACTTTGCACTTCTTTTCAGGTCCCTGTTCAGACAAGATCGCTACCAGTGAGCTAAACCCCCAGCCCACTTTTGGTGTTTTTGTTTTTTTTTTTTTTTTGTTGTTTTTTTTTTTGACAGGGATTGAACTCAGGCCTCTGAGCTTGCCAGGCAAGCGCTTATTCCACTGAGCCATCTCCCCAGCCCCAGTGTAAGGTTATTTTTATGGGCAATGTCTTCCAAACACTCAGGAAGACATGATGCTTCCAGATAGAAAGTTTTATGGGTGTTGAACTAAGGGCCTTCGCACTGAGCTGTCCCCAGCTCCTTCTTATAGTATCCTGAGTCTAAGTCACTGAATTCTCCAGGCTGGGCTCCAATTTGCAATCCTTCTGCCTCAGCCTCCCAGAGTGCTGGGATTACAGACACTATAGTAGTTGTTGTTTTAGGGGTTGATTTGGTAGTACTGGTGAATAAATCCAGGATTTTCATGCTGAACTACATCCCCAGCCCTTTAAGATTATTTTATTCTTTTATTTTGAGACAAGATCTCACAAAGTCATTCAGCTTCCCAGGTTGGGTTCTAACTTGACATCCTCCCGCATCAGCCTTCCAGAGTTCTGGGGCTTCAGAGCAGCCCCGGAATACCCAGCAAGCGCCATCTTCTTAAAATGCAGGCCACAGGGCCCTGAGATGAGGCCACACTGCTACTTCTGCTCCTGCAACGTTGGGATGGTCTGCTGATTTCGCTTAGTTGAGCAGAAAATGTCACGCTCAGTCACCAGAAAGATCTGGGAACTTTCAGCTGTGTCTGCAGGAACCATAGGATTAAATCACTCTGCAGGAATTAATTATTCAGCACCCCCGAGTGCCCTGGACCAATGCAAGAGGACAATCCATCCAGGGGAAAAAAAAAAAGAATGGAGAAAGCTACTTTGGCACACAAAAAGCTCACAGCCTCATGGACTCTGTCTCTAGGGATACATTGCACTGGCTCTCTGGAAAGGAAAAAGGCACTGCTCGTGGTCAGATGCCAAGCCTAGGGTATTTCCCTCATTCTGTGCATTCCCAGAAAGAAAGATGCTTCCCCTGGAAACTCAAGACACAGCTTTTGTCACAACACAGAGCCACCTCGTTTTCCAAACCTGGAGCTCACGTCTGTGCTGGGCCTGAGTGTGTGTGAGTGAATATGCCGGTTACTTAGTAACACAGTCACTTTCTAGTTATCCCCAAGACCAGATCTTCAAAGCCATCTTTTCCAGTTACATCAGGGAAAAGCAAGGAGTGACCATGTGCTTATTTTATGGATGGACAAAATGTTCCTCCTCAGAACCATGAACACAGCGTGCTGATGCAACCCAAGCTCCACGGCCGACCTCGCAGGTGCCCGAAGGACTCTTTGGAAGGGAGTGTTGAGGCCTCGTGGGGTGTGCTCGAGGACTGTTCGCCGGTACCTAGGATGAATTTGTTAATGCCCCAGTGGCTCCCTGTGCTTGAAACTATGACAATACCAAGCCAAGTCAAACATGGGTGGCATCATGATGCCCAGCACAATATCTGTGAAGGCATTACCTCTGCCACCTTGAAGAGCAAGTCATAGCAAACAGTGGGTGGGGGGAGGGTTACTGACAAGCCAGAACAACGTGCCACTCTGGAAATAAGTGATCAGAACACCCCTTGGGGGCTACTTTAGGTCCTGGTGGCCTTGATCAGGATGTCTTCCTCTACCTATATTCTCTCCAATAGGCACTTTGTAATTCTCGAGCATTGTTTAGATTTGTAAGAGGTAAAAGCCATTGCTTTCTATGCTCAACAGTCTTCCTGGGCAAAGAAGAAGGAAGAGACTTTGGTTTGGAGGGTTCTCTCACTACAGAGCTCCCAGTCCTTTCCCACGAATGCTCTTAATCTTCGCCTTAACCTTGAATGAGAGCATCCCAGGTCCCCGGGGTCTTCCAGCCAGCCTGGAATTGTGCTGCATTAAGCGCCCTGGCATGCCTAGAGCTGAGGGTGGCCCTGTCCTACTGTGGCCTCCGCTGGATTCTGGAGGATTTCAGCACTGCTCCGCACATGGGCATTAGGCGCGGTCTTCCACTCGGAGATGTGTTTTCGCCTTGTTTGTTGTGTCTCTCGGTTGCCTGCTCCCCGTGGGCCGAGAGGCCTTTCTAGGAGCATCATGTCTTGCTCTTCTCCCATCTCCTCTCATGCACAGCAACGCGCCTGCCCACTACTTTGCAGACCACTGTGCAGCAACAGGCCGTGACATGGTGACAGCAGTGACTGTCACACATGCAAAATGCTTCTGCCTCTGCAATGCATTTTCTTGAGAGAAAAAGAAATCTAACTTTACAGCATGACAACTCCCTTCATACTGCCACTGCTAAAAGACTGCATCTGTAGATGGTCTGTGAAAATACATATTTGGTGAATTCGGATCATAAGCCATGATGGCCAGCCCAGAAAACCTCAGAAGGATCGACCGATTCTCTGGCCTCTCTGTAGGCAAATTCTTTTTGATGAAGACCATGCTGTTAAAGGGGACATCTCTCAGCGGCACCCCTGGCCTCCCCTGGAGGTCTCCCAGAGCTGAGAACTCCAAGATGGTTGTTTTCCTCATGGTGGAGACTCGTCCTGGAATGTCCCCTTCTTAGAAAAGAACAAATCTAAGAGACTTTGGCCTCTCTGCTCCATCCATAGACTCTCAAAGCTCATCTACCCCTTTGCTCTGCCAGCCAGCACAGACACCATTGGACATGCTTGCCTTAGTCTTTCACAGCTTCTGGAGAAAAGTGGACCCTGTTTGTCACAGACCCACCACTAACAGCATCGGGGTTCATGTAACACTGGCGACATGGAATGTGGGGCGAGGAAGAGATTTGTCATATGGCAAAATACCGACACCTTAGTGCTTTGGCTTTGGATTCACAGAAAGGCAATCCCACCTGAGCTACAACCACTGCACACACATATTCCTCTTCTCCCATTCTCTGCTTTGCATAGACACACAAATCAAAAAGAAAGCACCTATTTGCATGGAAAGAAATCTAAATTTGTCCAAGTATTGTAATGAACAGGGAAAACATCATTCTATCATTTACATATCTTTAAAAACACGGGTTTTCCTTGCAAAGGCTACAAGTTTCATGTGGTCCAACCTTGTTTACTCAGCACAGAACACAATCAATGCATCAGCCCATCATGATACCGATCCCACACTCACCTGTCTTCAGTACGCTCTTGTCCTCAGAGGCAGTGAATCCACACAGCTTTATATACAGCCCCTTCCTGCTGCTGTCTTTTAGAAGTGTTGACCTCATCCTATTATAAGATTTACAGCTAAACCTCATAAATTACAGTAATAATCATAATAATTACAAATACTTTGAACTTATATAAGGCCTTTTATTCAAGAATGTCCTGGTATTTTGCAAACATTAACCAATCAGTTTCTTACCACACCTCAGAAAGCAGATCCTAATTGTAGGTTCCTGTTGGCATTTTAGGCCTGGCATTTGTCTTTGTTCACACCAGTTTCCAGGAGAGGGGCTAGGTAAGAAAGAGAAGAAGAAATGGAGAAAGAGAGAGCAGAGTCAGGAGAGAAGAAGAGAGAGACAGAACAAGACAGAGAGGAAGGAAAGCAGAAAGTAGAAAGAAGAGGAGGAGGAGGAGAAGGAGGAGAAAGAGGAGAAGGAGGAGAAGGAGGAGGAGGAGGAGGAGGAGGAGGAGGAGAAGAAGAAGAAGAAGAAGAAGAAGAAGAAGAAGAAGAAGAAGAAGAAGAAGAAGAAGAAGAAGAAGAAGAAGAAGAAGAA